CTATATTGCACCCGAATCTCAAGCAGACCTATCGACAGTTGCAGCTCCTTTTTACGCCACCAAACCTAATTTTGAGTTCGACCTCAGCTGCGTCATGAAAGACAAGAGTCCAATGAGAATTGCAATCAATGATGACTCCAACCACGAAGCATTCCGAGAGAAGTCTGTTCTCGACAGGGCGCAGGCTGATGCCCTCCTCGCATCGCTCAAGCGCTCCCTGGCTCTGATTCAGGGTCCTCCCGGAACGGGTAAGAGCTTCACCGGTGTGGCACTCATCAAAGTTCTTCTGGCAGTACAACCGCGTGCTAAGCTTGGTCCGATCCTCTGTGTGTGCTATACCAACCATGCACTCGACCAGCTCCTAGAGGATCTGGTGCGTCACGGCATTGATCAAATTGTCCGCATTGGATCTCGGTCAAAATCCGAGGTGCTGCAGGCGTGCAACCTTCGTGTCCTGGCCAGCTTGATCGATTTGACCAGAACCGAGAAACGTGAGCACTGGACTCTGAAGTTGAAGCTTGATGAAGACGAAAGGAACATTTCTAGAGTCATAAAGAGGCTTACGCCGAAGGGAGACGTTGCAGCGCTCAAAAGTTACTTAGAGATCTATCATCCCACATCTTACCGGGCTCTCTTCTTCGGAGAGGCCAAGGACGATGACGGTTATGAGATGGTTGTCCGTCACAAGACATATCTGTTGAATGCCTGGCGGAAGGGCGGCTCTCGCCACGGCCCCGTCCGCAAACTCCGGACTCTACTTAGTGAACCAGACATCCGGTCTCTGAATAACCTGGAGAGACAGCAGGTATACTACCATTGGTTGGCCGAATCGAAAAAGACAGCCCGGGCCGAACTGTTGACTGCGCTAGCAAAATACAAGGAGAACAAAGAACAGTTCGACCAGGTCCGAGCAGGTGTTGATCTTCGATGTTTGCAACAGGCCAAGGTCATCGGTGTAACAACGACAGGTTTGGCAAGAACGTTACCACTTCTCAGGAAGCTCAATTCAAAAGTCCTTGTCTGCGAAGAAGCCGGCGAAGTCCTTGAAGCGCATATCCTTACTGCGCTCCTCCCTTCTCTAGAGCACGCAATTTTGATAGGTGACCATCTTCAACTTCCCCCACATATCCAAAGCTACGAACTTTCAAGAGAGAGTTCTTCCGGAAAACGACATTCTCTGGACATATCCTTGTTCGAAAGACTGGTGACTCCTTCGTGCTCCACCCAGTCCGCCGTGCCATACAGCGCCCTGGAGACACAGCGTCGAATGCACCCCTCCATCTCTGAACTCATCCGCAGTACGTTATATCCCAGACTATGTGACTCTTCGGCGGTCAATTCATATCCGTCTATTACCGGGCTGGCCAAGAGACTCTTCTGGCTTGATCATGCAAATCCTGAGGACGGCGCTCTATCTGATTCGGATAGTACGACTTCTTACTCAAATGAATTTGAAGTCAAGATGGTCACTTCACTGGTTTCCCATCTTGTTCGACAGGGTGTGTACCATGCGAATGATCTAGCGGTTCTCACCCCCTACCTTGGCCAACTTCAGAAAATCCGTAGAGAACTGCAAGGATTGTTTGACATCTCTTTGACTGAAGGCGATATACTCGAGTTAGAAAAGGAAGAGGTCGGCAAAAACAATAATGAGCCTAGTCACAGTACTGTACCTTGGCTGCAGAAGACCCCGCTCTCGCGGGCACTCAAGGTGTCTACTATTGACAACTTTCAGGGAGAAGAGGCCAAAGTCGTTATTATCTCTTTGGTGAGAAGCAATGATCAGAACAAGTGTGGGTTCCTTCGGACTTCGAATCGCATCAATGTCCTTCTCTCCCGCGCCAAACACGGAATGTACATCATTGGAAACTCTCGAACCTCCGGCCACGTTCAAATGTGGGCTTCTGTGATCGAAATTCTTCAATCTGGCGATAACTTCGGCGAGCGCCTCCAGCTTCAATGTCCCCGTCACCCAAAGGCCGAATTTTATGTCTCAAAGCCGGACGATTTTACCATCTTCTCGCCTGAAGGAGGGTGCAATCTACCTTGCGAAATGCGCCTTAGATGTGGCCATTCGTGTATCAGCAAATGCCATTCACAAATGCTACACAGTGCGATCAAGTGCCTCGAGCCTTGTCCGCGAGCTTTAAAAGGGTGTGAGCACCTTTGCCCAAACAAATGCGGAGATCCCTGCCCTGCCAGATGTCCACAGGAGCTGCATGACCTCCATATCACCCTCCCTTGTGGGCATATGCGAGATACTCTGCCTTGTTGGCAAGTTGCAGATCCTTCTCGGGTTGTCTGCAAGGACATGGTTACACGAGTTGTCCCCAGTTGTAACCATCAGGTTGATGTCCCATGCTGTGTGAACGTTGAAACGAACACGTTTAGCTGTACAGCTGCTTGCGGCACGGCCCTTCTGTGTGGTCATACCTGCCCGAAGCAATGCAACATGTGTAGGAAGAGAGAAGATGGCAAAGTCACTAGTGAGGACCATCAGATTTGCCAGCTGTCTTGCGGCCGTGCCTTCAAATCCTGCATGCACTTATGCAGGGAAAAATGTCATGGCGATAGCCCTTGCCCGCCATGCCAGGCTCCTTGCGAAGTGTCATGCCGTCATTCAAAGTGCACGAAACGCTGCCATGAGCCATGTGTTCCCTGTGCGGAGGAAAAGTGTTCTTCAAGCTGCCCTCACAGCGCTTGTACTCTTCCATGTGCTGCTCCCTGTGACTGGATACCCTGTTCAAAACGCTGCACGAATACATTGCGCTACGGGCATCAATGTCCCTCGCTTTGCGGCGAGATCTGTCCACAATCCAAATTCTGTCAGATCTGCGCTCCTGAGGACGTCAAGAAGATGGTAGTCGATTTGTTGTTAATGGAGGAATATCACGAGATCAATCTTGACGAGAATCCATGCATAATACCACCTTGTGGTCACATCTTAACGGTGGAAAGCATGGACGGTCAGATGGAAATGTCAAAGCATTATGCTACTGATGGGACAAGTGTCTGCATTACAGACGCGTCTATTCCATTTTCAAAAGAGGAGCTCAAGGTATGCAGCAGCTGCCGAGGCTCATTGCGAACCATATCAAGGTATGGCCGCATAGTCCGCAGAGGGCTCATCGATGACGCCACAAAGAAATTCATTACATCGGCGAACCAACAATTCCTTCCTCTTTACAAGTCAGTTCACCAGCATCAAGCCGACTTAGTCCGGTCTGTCAAAGACGGCCAACCTATCAAGCACAAGCCAGATCCGGAGAAAGTTGCACTTTCAGGTGGAAGAAAGGAGCAGATCAAGCTGATATTTAAGGTCGCCCACGATAAGCGTTACTCCTCGATCGCGACGACCCGAAAGCGGATTATGGAATACCTTCGACATGTCGATGTCGAGGAACAGCCCTTTAAACGGGTTTGGGATATGGTACAGTTCGCTCGAAGACGAGGGAAGACAAGTAGCGATGTGGGCTTTGACCATCCCGTTGTACAGACCAGCCAGACTCTACAGGGTGAATCGCTCCTGCTGAGATGCGACATTGTCATACTATCAGACTTCTTGACGCTTTTTGGATCTGGTCTGCGAGATGTGAACCTGGAATCCAACAGAGTCGACTGCCTGAAACTTATTGCTGCCGCTCAGGAGGCACGTCAACCAGCCATCGAAGTTGAATCTCACACATTTTATGCGCAGTGCTGTCTTGCGGAACGGGCCTACAGCAGTCGATCAGAAGTCTTGACAGTCCTAACTAAAGAAGCCGCAGAACACATTGATGACGCAAAACAACTATGCGCTCGACATCCAGGGTCCACCAGACATGTCGTTGGTGAGCTGAAGACAGTGGAGGACATGTTGGAGTCCTCGACGTTCACCACAGTGGTAAATGACGCCGAGTGGAGACTTGTGATCAATGCTATGGCAAGTACATTCCGTGGATCTGGTCACTGGTATACCTGTGCCAACAATCATCCGTTCACTGTCGGAGAATGCGGCCTGCCGATGGAGAGAGCGAGCTGTCCTCAGTGTGGCGCTCCGGTGGGCGGACAGAACCATACACCTGCCGAGGGAGTTCGGCGAGCAACGGACCTCGAGAACAGATTTGCCGAGTTGAGACTTTGACAATCTATGCGGTGAAAAGGTGGCATCTCGAAGTGGCCGTTCATTGATCACAAGGAAAGGCTGGCGTACGGGCGTTTTTGCAGAATTGTTGTGTGGACGCGGCAAGATTGGCTGTCTAGGCGCATTGTGACATACGAGTTGCCTCTTAATAATAGCACCTTGATCGATGGGATCATGAATGTGTGACGTTTTAGGGTCTGTTGAATTTGCAGAATCCATCCATCCCTCGACTTTTTGATACGCCGCCTAGCACCCTGCTCTGCCAGCAAGCGTGCCTCGTGTAAGCCTATAGCTATCGCGATCCAGTTCCAGATCCAAACCTAACTAGCTACGTGTGCATAGCCTACCATCCAAATTCTCGCCCCCAAAGCCACGGAAGTCAAATGCAAGGGCTGGGAACGGGGTTAGTCAGCGCTGGCTACTTTTTTGGACGAAGATCAGGTGTCACAGTGCGTCTTTCTAAAATCTCACTCGAGGCTTCTGATACTTTACTTGTATGTCATTCTTCTCTCTTCTTGCCCTGATCGATTCGGTGAGCCCGGAACAAGCTTTGGGACTGGGCTTAAACCACAACTCCACAAATTGCAAACAAACAGCAGTAGGGGATGGACGAGTCTATGTTTCCGTTATGCCGTCCAGAATCAGAGGGTTACCCGTTGTCAAGTGCCACCATGCTATCCAAAGGAATACCATTGACACGGTATAACTGCGGCAGGGAGCTCAATTTGCTGTGCTGCTGGATTACATTAAATGCAGCGCCCCCCCCCCCCCCTTCAGGAAGAAGACGTTCTTGCTGAACTGCAGAGAAAGAACAATTTTACTGTTATTATAAAAACCACAAGGTGTTTGAAACCAGCAGATTAGCCAGCGAATGAGCATGTCAAGTTTTCGAAACTACAGCCTGCTCCTGATACTTTCCTTGGGGCTTGCAGCCCTCGTTCCAACCGCTGAGGGAGCTGCAAGTGGCAGGATAACTTGTGCGACGCTGGTGAAGCCGACCATTCCCGGAGCAAGCGTGCTGTCGATCCAGTCACAACATCTTCCAAACTCTACGGTCCTTGCCAGCCCTCCTCTCCTGAACAGCAACTTCACCGGACTTGACCTTTGCAGTGTTGATCTGGTGATTTCACACCATGGCGCCAACGATACCGTCAAGATACAAGTGTGGATGCCGTCCATTGGTTGGAATGGACGCTTTGTCGGAACCGGAGGCTCTGGATATGCTGCGGGATTCTTCGAATACAGCTTGGCCCCGGTGGTCGCACTCGGCTATGCGGCAGCATCCACCGATGCAGGCCTTTCAGGGGATCCCTACAGCCCAGCGCTGTGGGCTCTGCATCCAAACGGCACCGTGAATGAGGGCCTCCTGCTCAACTTTGCCTCGCGATCCGTGCATGACATGGCTGTGGCGGGCAAGGCGATCGCAGCACAATATTATGGCAGAAAGCCGGACCATTCATACTGGAATGGATGTTCCACAGGAGGGAGACAAGGTTTGATGGCGGCGCAAAAGTATCCTAGGGATTTTGACGGCATTGTTGCCGGAGCGCCAGCAATAGACTGGTCCAGGTATGTGGTTGCAGAACACTGGCCACAGGTTGTCATGAAAGAGGAAGGGACATATATCAGTCAATGCGTTCTCAAATATTTCACCGATGCGAGCATCGCAGCATGCGATTCTCTTGACGGAGTGGCCGATGGCGTCATCACAGATGTGCATCTCTGCAAGTTTGACCCGTTCACCTTGGTTGGAACAAGTGTGCAGTGCGACGGCAGCAAAGAGAATGTCACAAAGGAGATGGCCAGCGTTGTCGGCAAGATCCTAGCAGGGCCCAAGGGATTCTCCATCTCCCACACATATGCCCTGAATCCTGGAGCTGCACTGGACAGTCTGGCCAACACGACAGTCGTCAATGGAACTCGAGTCGGACTACCCTTTTTCGTGAATGATGCCTGGATCAAATATTTTGTCAAGAAGGACCCGGATTTCGACACGAGCTCGATCGGATACTTGGCTTTCGAAAAGATCTTCAATCAGTCCCAACAAGAGTTCGGGCAAGTCATAGGCTCTTGTCAATCGGATCTCTCTGGATTCCATTCCGCTGGCGGGAAGCTGATCGTATGGCACGGCCTTGCGGACCAACTGATATTTCCGGGTGACACTGTTGCCTATCACCAGAACGTCACACAGGCATTGGGAAACTCGTCCACAGTCGCCGAGTTCTATCGCACTTTCCTCGCCCCTGGTGTAGATCACTGTGGTGGGGGTGCGACACCTGGAGCAGTGCCGGTAGATCCACTGTCGGCAGTTGTGGCATGGGTTGAGGATCAGAAGGCGCCAGATGTGTTGGAAGCTCGCAAGACGGAAGCAGATGGGACGGTCGTGACGAGGAACCTGTGTCCCTTCCCTTCTGTGTCGCGGTATAGGGGAATGGGGGACAAGAGCCTGGCGAGTAGCTATACTTGTGCTTGATAGATCTTGGTGGACTTTCTGAACAAAGGCACTGAGACGAATTCTGGTCACCTATTAGCTTTTCGCTCAAAGGGAATGGAAACAATCATCGGTCGGCTGCTGCAGTGGAAGGCCCGCTTATGTTCACAGAGGAGCATTCTAGTGAATGTGGTTTACATTGGTTTCATAGGATAAAGTAGGAGTGTTTAAGGAGAAAGAATGAGGGCTTGTTTTCATAAAATATAATCAGTCCATCACGGGAGCCGCTTCAGCGAGCCTCTTAAGATAGCCTTTGCCCATACATCGTTGGAGAAGGTGTTGCCCCTGAAATACGGCAGCCTCATCATGTGACATGGATACGAGTCCTGCTATGGGTATCGCTATAGCTAGATGATGGTAGATATTGCATTGACCCAGGTGAAAAGTAATTGCACTGTTGTTTACTACCTGGATGGCGGCGATCTGTGCGCTGGAGGGGACGGGGAAACATCGGAAACAGGCCGGCGCTATAGACGAGGCTTGAGCTTGCGCGAACCCCGCAGAGTCGAAGATCCTTCGCACACTCATCATCTATCACTAAACACAATCCCCGTGTCTTTAGTAGACGTTTGAGGGAATGCCTCGTCATACCATCTGACAGTCGCTAGAGCCTAGGAGCTACAGCCCCATTACAGCGTGTATCAACGGATCCCCGTCCGCCTTAGCCCCGTCAGCCGAGTAGGAGAGAGCAACAACACACAGAGGAGGGTCATGTCCCGGCAAGCGAGGCCGACAACGATTCACTCTGCCTCCCTACTACTCCCCCCGTCGCTTGTGCCGTTGACTCCTTGCCAGATGCTGGCACAGGAGCCATGATCCACCAGAATAATATGCATCAGCCTGGGGACGATGTCCACTCCGCCCTTCATACCGACAGCGCCCAACAACGTCGCCAAAAGGCTGAAGAGTCCGAATGGGCCAGTGCCAAAAGCGGGATCTCCGGAGCAGACCAGGCGTCGGAGAGCATTGATCCCCCTAGCAAACGACGACGAGTCGCGCTGGCGTGCACCGTTTGTCGTGGGCGGAAATCACGTGTGAGTCTTTCCATTTACTTCCTGGATGTTGAAACGAGCACGGCGATGAGCATTGCATTGTCTGACTATTCTGGTCGAGCCTCCTAGTGCGATGGCACGCGCCCCAAGTGCTCACTGTGTATCGAGTTGGGATTCGAGTGCGTCTATCAACAGTCTGCGTCATATTCGAACATCATTATCGGCAAGGAGTGAGTTCAAGATCTTGAATCCTAAATGCGTTGCCGCTAATCCACCGTCCAGATACCTGTCGTCGATCGAGGATAGACTGAAGTTGGTGGAAGGCCGTCTTGCCTCTCTAGAGAACCGTGATCGCTCAGGTGTGTACCAACTTGCCAATCCGACCGTCTCGAATGGCGTCTCTTCTACGGATTCTGCGCAGCCGGAGACGGCGTGCCTACGAGAAGAGAGCCTCGAAGATGCGGAAACCATCGAAGATCCCATTGATGCAATGGGAGCCGTCACATTTGCGCAGGAAGAAGATTGCGCATTCTTTGGTCCTTCGTCGAACATTGCTTTCCTCCGGCACGTCTCTAGGGCTGTGGCCCGATTAACTCACGACCCTGAGCCCTGGAAACCGTCTCCCGCAGAACATCACTCGGTAGGATTTACAGGCGGATTCATCAACACCTCTGGCCCTGCCTCGCCTATTCCAACCACGCACGATCCTCCCTTCGAGAAGGTGAACATCTACGCTCTTCCTCCTGACTCGGTGGCTCGTGAGCTCCTCAACTGGTACTTCAGTAACACTGGCTTATTGTTTCCTTACATTCACGAGCAATCGTTCATGGCAACATTTGAACAGGCCAGAAAGGACAAGTTCAAAGGCGTTAGGAGGATTTGGCTTGCCCTGCTGAATATCGTCTTTGCACATGCCATGGTGCATGCGCGAGAGAACACGACCACTCCAGGAAGCGTGGAGTCAACCTCGGCGAAAGCAAGCGCAGAGTCTGAGATATACTTCCGACGAGCTTCAGGACTATTCAACGAGAAGAACGAGAATGGGACCGGGACTAGTGTGGAAGTTGGTAAGTTAATTACCGCCTCACCCCGTCATGGGCCTGGTCGAATATTTACACAAAAACAGTGCAATTTCTCCTCCTCATGGGTCAGTACCTTCAGGGAACGCAGAAATCGGTACAGACATGGAAGACACATGGTCTTGCTGTACGAGCTGCATTTCAAATCGGGCTTCACTCGAGTGATTTAGCTAGAGTTTTTCCTCCACCCGAGCAGGAGGTCCGGAAAAGGACGTGGTTTGGTTGTATCATGCTCGACCGAACTTTGAGCATGACCTTTGGACGCCCACCAGCGATCCCTGACAGTTATGTCCAGCTCGAGCCGCCAGTGGAATTCTCTGTTCTGGACGGTGCAGGTGCAGGGACAGACCAGAAGGAGTCATTGAGCATAGCCTTCTTCAACGGCACCATGTGAGTCGCACCAGGAGAATAACCCTTACATCTTTAATAGAAGCCAAACTTATCCCGACCTTAGTGCGCTCTATAAGGTGCTGTGCACGATCATAGATTCGCTCTACGGCCAGAACCTCGCCTGCTCGTTCAAAGCAAACGCCGTCGATACAGTCGCTCTAGTCTACAAGATCGAAAATCAGCTGTCCGAGTGGCAACGGGGACTGCCATCCCATATGAGGCTCATCGCCACTCAAGACATCCTGCCAGAACGCCTGCCGCAGGTCGAGAGCTCGGCAGAGGAAGCATGGCGGCAGCTGCGCCTTCGGTTCATCCTCACCCTACGCTACACGAATGTCCGCATACTCCTGCATCGGCCTGTGCTGGTCAAATTCCTCGATGGGCTGAGCAACCCGACGAACCACCAGGATACCTCATTGTTACAGCAGGTCGGCAGCATCCACATCCAAATCGCCATCAAGTCGGCAAAGGAGATTATTTGTCTGGTGCATAATGCTCTGCAGTCTGCGACAGGGCGTTCGAAGTGGGGTTTGTTGGGTGCATGGTGGTTTTCGCTGTACTACAGTATGTTTTTTTTTGCTGCCGGGTCTCTTTTTCGCCCCTCTGGTCTTTTTTCTTCGAAGTACTGATATGGTGCTGATCAAAATCTTGTGCAGCCTTTAATGCAGCCTTGGTTCTGGGTGCGTGTGTCCTGGTCCAAATCGACCAGAAGGCCTCGGGCAACGAATCAAACATGTCATTGACCGAGTCGACCGAGGATATGAGCCTGCATTTGGGCATGGCCATCGAAGCGATCCGCCATCTCGACAGCGACAATCGCATGGTGGCGCGGTGCCGAGATTATCTCGAACAATTTGTCCAGGTCGTTCAGGCGCTAGGTACGTATCACGGAGGGGAAGTGTTCATCCATCCGTTCCCCCATCCCTGTCTTGTTACATTTAAGGTTCTGCCTTTTTGGTCATTACTCTCTCTTCGATTTCGGATACATATCCTAACCGAAACGCTCCGATTTCAGCAATTGGACAGGGTCTCCTTCCACAACCCCACGACTGGCACCCCATTACATACCACGCGGCCAATGCGTCCGTGTTCGGCCAAGTGCCGCCAGCACCGCATCACGAAGGAAGCGACTACGGAGTCCTGCTCGGTGGCGCGGCCGCGGCGGTAGGCGTTGGCATGGGCATGTTCAACGGCGGCAACAGCGCCGGTATGGTCGCGAGCAGCAAGCAGAGCCCGCTCGGCATGGAGCTGGGCGAGTTCATGCTCGATGGCGATCTCGAGTTCTTGACTAGTCATTCCTTCGCGTATAATCGGGGCGTGGCTCCGTGAGGAAAGTGAGGGGAGGGAGGGATGTCGACTCGACGAGGCATAACACGGGAAGGACAAGAAGGAAATAACTAGTGGGATAGTGGTCGGGTTCGTTAGAAGTATCTATTGCATGGCCTCCATGACCGATCTCTAATCCATCTAACTAATTAGAGGACTGGGCAGCCCTCTTGCGAGGATATATGATATAAGATATAGGATGCCGCTACCCTTTATTAGCTTTGTTAAAGTTCATTCATTGATACTCAGTTTCGACAACGTGCCTCTCAGGACGTAGCGCCGCCATCCAGATATCCACGCCCTCCCTAATTATCCACCCATAGATAACTATTGTAACAGGGCACTTCAGGGTTCGGTGTGCACGTGCAACAGCGCACAGAGGCCTGTCCAGCAGGTCCGGAATCGAGAACGCGTTTCCGGTTGGCGCTGACAAGACAACAACACCACCACCACCACCACCACCTCCCAGAGAGGCGGCGGCTAGGACAACGCACGCCTGGCACGGCGACGGCATCGAGGAGCAGGACAGGACTGATAAAACACTCAGGAACCAGGTAGACGGCACCAAGGGCCATAGAATTCATGATACCTTGCTCAAATTGTAAAGAATGACACTCTGCCAGCACTGTAAACTGTTCCGCACTCCCCCTATCAGCCCATTTTGGTTTGACATGTGACTAGACAACTCTCCCCCTGCTACCACTCTGCCAACCCAGCACAACACAGCCACTTTGCCTTGTTACACTATGTAACTACCTAGGTGACTGGCTGACCGGCTGGCTGATCACCAAACTACCTAGCTCAAAACTCTAGTAGTCATGAGGAGGACAGGGAGGAGCTAAACGCTCTTCCTTCCCACTCGGTACGGGAGATCTAGTTCTCTCTATCTCGTCGGTCTCATCTGTTCTTCTTTCATATGTGTCATTGATCCTGTCCAATGTGGTGCACAAACTCGGGAACAAAATATTAAAAAAAATTGTTTGATGTCTTTCGTGGGAGTGCGAATGCCCAGAAATGCCCTTGGTGGCTGGCTTGATGCTCTCCGACTGTCTATCATCCTTGCCTTCGCCTTCTCGAGGCCTCAGCTTTCATCCCCCCGCCCTAGCTTCCTTAGCCGTCACTTTTATTTTCGCCCTCGCACTGCTTTTCAACTTATAGTAGCATCTTTCGGTATCTCGGCTGGCATCGAACAAAGAACTCTGACGGCTCTGGATCACCCAGGTTGAAGATCTTCCACTCCTTCTCTGGGTCCGCGAGTTCTAGCTATATCCGGGCGCGGAATGGTGTGGTTAGCGGGACTGCTTCTTCTTGTGCAGAGGAATTCGACGTGCAAACAGGAGGGGGAACAAGGAAGGAGAGGAGAAAAAAACTTTGAACGAGGGGCTGGACTTACCGTGAACATCCTCAGAACCGAAGGCACCACTTTGTACAGCTCCAACAGCGCAATATTCTTCCCGATGCAAGTGTTCGGCCCGGCACCCCAGACGAGCAGGGCCTTGTTCATGGCGGCCAGCTGCTCCGGGCTCGCGTCCAGCCAGCGCTGCGGGCGGAAGACCTCGACGTCCTCGCCGTACGTCGGCTTGTGGCGGTGCATGATCCACGCGTTGCAGCTGACGATGATGTTGCCGGGGATGTACTCGCCGAGGATATGCGCGCCTTCGGGCGGCGTGACTCGCTCGATCAGCTGCATGCCCAAGCCCGGCCAGATGCGGAAGATCTCCTTGAGCACGGCGTCCAGGAAGGGCAGTTTCTGCGACTCGCCGAACGGCACCACGTACTCTGCGAAATTGATCGGCTCGCTGCGGCTTTTCTCGCTGGCGTTCGGTGGGGGGAAGTACGAGTCGATCTCGGCCACAAGCTCCTTCAGCACGTGCGGATACTTGAGGAGGAAGTAGAATGTAGCAGCCAGCGTGGTGGCGACGGTCCCGCTGCCTGCGTTGACCATGGAGAGGGTCAGACCGAGCACGGCGCGGTCGTCGACAATGTCTGGGTTGTCGATTTTGGCCTGGAGAAACTTGGTAAGCAGATCGACGCGCGCCTTCTCGTTTTCGCTGACGCCTTTGAAGTCGCGCTTCTTCTGGTCCATTTGTCGCTGCGCGATGGGCACGGTCGCCGTCACGCTGTTCCAGAGTCCCCGGCGGCCGAGCCACATGAGAACCGGGTTCTTTTTGAGGACGCGGTCGAGCCAGGTGACGTTGTTGACCTGGAGGCGAAATGTCAGCTTAATGTTCTTGGTATCATTCGACCGGGGAGGGGAAACCCACAATGGTGAAGTAGCGCAAAAAAGTCGTCCGCGCATTGATAATACCGATATGATCGTACCCGGCCTCCAACAGACCATACCCCTTCCCCATTGTCAGTGCGCTGACGACGTCCAGGGCGAAGAATTTAGTCCACTCAGACATGTCACAAATGCCGTCCGGACCAGGTCTGCCGGCAAACCTCTGGTCCAGTTGAGCGAGGAACGTGGTGACAGTGTCGGTCACGTATGGCTCATAGTTGACGAGCGTGCTCATGGCAAAGGCGTTGGCCACCGATCGCCGTAGCTTGCCGTGGTAGATCCGGTCAGTAGTGGAGAAGATGTTCGGGACGGCCACACCTCGAGAGACTCCCTGGCCAACCTTGTAGAAGTCGGACTGGAGATTTGCTGCGTTAGACAGAGTAGTGACCGGGAAGAGGCAGTATATATTTCAGATCTGATGAGGTGCTTGCCTAAGGAATTCTATTGGGGGCTTTGACTCTCTCACCTTCGAAAAATGTGTCATGTAGATGTCCTTAATTGCATCTGGATCATTGAACAGCAGCGTGTTGGGCCCAACACGGATGATTTTTCCATACTTGACCACGCTGGGGTAGGCACACCGGTCCGTATACCACACCCACTGCCACAGCCGCCAGAAGTTGGTGAAGGAGGCAATGAATGGGCCATCGTATTTATTGAGACCTTTTTTGTAGCGGAAACTTGCTGCCCACGCACAAAGAAGGACTGTGGTAAGAGAAACCCACACCCATAAAGAGACGTGAGATATTGAGTCGGTGGCGAGCATTTTCCCCTCCCCTTCTGCGAATTAGGAGTGGCGAGGGCCCAGACGGATGGTAGGTAATATTAGTTGGGCTGTGGTGGAACGGAAAGCGCCTCCTCTCGCTCAGACGACGTTTTGCTGGGGGACATCACCAGATCCGGTGGTTTGAGATAAACCAAGCTTCTTAAGAAAAGGCTTGACACGGCCTGCTTCTCCAATAATGGCATTTTTCTCGGTGGATTTCCGCATCCCGGAGTCTCCTTCTTTGGGTCCCATGGGGTCCAACTCACCTTGTGGAATGCCTTCGAGGGGAAGTCGGGAAGTCGGACGGGGAAAGACCGGAGGAGGTGTTTGCAAGGCACAGTCGAGATGAGACGCGATATGCTAAGGTCCGATCAACGCTATTCTGGATTTGATCTGGCGATGGCGCACAGCGAAGAAGCAGGGGAAGAGTATGAATGTGAAAGTAGAGTGGAAAGAACCCGATATAGGTCAATAGACAACAATGCCTGTAACTATGGGACAAGATGATTGTAACGACTGGTACGAAATAGGCCTCGTTTCTGTCCGTGAGACACTGGGAAGCGAATGGAAATCTCTATTTCTCTAGTCCATCCCTATGCAACCGCAATGCTCTCCTTTGCAGCCGCCCAGTCTGCTTCCAAGTTTCCCTTCCACACCCATGCCATGCGATCCTTGACCTTGTCCCGCACGACCGGTAGACATTCCTCGAACGTCTTCCCCTCGAAATCTGGGCCGTGCATGTCGTAAACCTCTGCTGCCTGCCGTGATGTGATTTGGGCTTTTTGCGCCCGTGGCACGCGTGCCGCTTGGTACAGGTTCATGTACGTGGCAAGCCCAGCGACTGGATTGTTCAGGTAATCCCGCACAGCAATACCGAGCACGTTAGCATCTTCGATTGAGAGTCCTGCACCGGAGCCTAGGGGGTACCGTCAGATATCAGGGAGGGGAATAGCAGGGATCAACGAACCTTGCATGGGTAACATTGCGTGCGCTGCATCACCGCTCAGAACAACTTTGCCGCCCATGTAGCACCATTGAGACAACACCTCTCGATCATTGATCTTCCACTCGCTGATAACAGGCGGCATCGCTCGGATAATTCTCTGCACTGTCGGATTCCACCCGGCATATTCTTTCTCAATCGCTTCTCTCGGTGCTTCGCTTCTCCAGCTCTCCTTGAGCCCGCCAAGTTCGCTCTCCGGCTTTGTGACGAACGCGACGACGTTCATTAGCCGGTTTTGCGACATTGGGAATGCCAGAAAATGTTTGTTAGGTGCGAGCCATGACAGCGTCCAAGACGAGTACGGCCAGTCATCAGAGACAGCGGAGAGGGGAATGGTACCGCGAAAGGCTATTCGACCTGAGTAGACGGGCTTGTCCACAGCAAATTGGGATCGGACCGCGCTATGAATGCCATCACAGCCAATTACCAGATTGGCAGACTCTTCTGTACCATCAGCGAAGCGAATGGTCACGGTAGACCCGTTGTCCTGTCCAAAGATCAGCAGCTATTGCAAGAGCGCTATACTAAAAAGTAGAGACCAGGAGTGATACCTTAAGTCCAATAACTCTCTTGTTCGTCTTTAGCGTTGCACAGTTCCTTCTCTGAATCTCGCTGTACAAGACCTCCAAAAACTCAGCTCGATGAACCCACAACTGTCTTACCTCCTCGGCACCGCCGTTGTCGAAGGCCAAAGCGTCCACAATCAGCTCATCTGTGTCCCAACGGCGATTGCTCCGATGCACGCCGTTTCGATAGCCGGAGATGGCATTAGCAGCCGGCCACACCCCAAGCTTCTGAAGCACTCGGCCTGCAGAGACACCTATACCGACTCCAGCGCCAATCTCGCCGTATTCTGGGGCTTGCTCATAGACGGTGATGTTGCTTGCTGGCAAGTCAGGATTGTATGTCGCAAGGCTGAGCGCTGTTGTGAGCCCACCAATTCCGCCCCCAAC